CTTAAGTTTCCATCAAAACAATGTTTTGAGCTGCATTCCACAATTTTATGTCATATTTTTATTACTTAGTTCATAAAACCAAGTTCCTTTGTGATTTCTTCTTTAACCTATTTTTTTCTTCTTTGTGATTATTCTTTTTAGAAGTATATTGCTAAATTTTGGAACATTTGGGCATTTTCTAATAATTTTCTTATGAATTTCTAACTTAATTTCACTGTAGTTAGAGAACATATTCTGATTCTTGTCCTTTGGAATTTGTTGAGACTTGACTTTATGGCCCAGAATGTTGTCAGCTTTGGTAAATATTCAATGTGGACTTGAAAGCAAAGAATATTCTCTTATTATCTGGCATAGTATTTATATATGTCACTTATGTCAAGTTTGTTCATTTTCATTGTGTAAGTCTTTTATATACTCACTTTTTTTATCTACTTGTTCTGTGAACTATCAAAGCATGTTAATAATCTCCCACAATGATTGTTGATTTCTCTCCTTTTACTTCTTTTTGCTTTGTATATCTTAAAGCAGTGTGATTGATTGAATATATACAAATTTGGAATTATACTTTCCAAATTGAGCCTTTTATGTATGAACTAGAGGTCCGGTGTATGAAATTTGTGCACAGTTAGGTTACCTAGTCCTGGCCGGCAATCAGGGCCAATTGGGGCCTTCTGGCTGCCAACCAGGGCCTCCCTTCCCCGGCTGCTGGCTGCCGGCTGCCAGCTACCAGCTGCCGGCTGCCAGCTGGGGCCTTCATTCTGCACCGCCCTCTGGTGGTCAGCACACATAGTGAGTGATCGAACTCCCGAGGGGACACTTTGCATATTAGCCTTTTATATATATAGATTATATCTTTTCATCTCAAACCATAGTTCTGGCCTTGAAGTCTAATGTATCTGAATTATAGCATCAACTGGTTTCTTTTGGGTAGTGTTTGCATAGTGTATATTTTCCATTGTTATATTTCTTACGTTTCTGTACCCTTATATTTAAGTTGAATTGCTTATAAAAAGCATGTATTTGGGTTTTGTTGTTTATCTAATCTGACACTCCTAATATTTTAGTTTTCTACACACTTAATATAATTACCCATATATTTGGATTTATATTTACCACCTTATGATTTTTTTTAACCCACCTATCTTGTTTCTTTTTCTCTCCTTTTTTACCTTCTTTTGGATTAAATATTTATTTTTTATTTTTCCTTTTATTAATTTGTTACTTGTACATTCATTTAATACTTTTAAGGGTCTCTCTAGAGCAGTTTTATTCAAAGTGTCAGTTTGAAAAGATAAACAATTTGTACCAGAACATGAAACACACATTACTGCTTTCAGCAGAAATCTTGCTATGGCACTAGCCGGTATTGCTCAGTGGTCAGCCCGAACACCAGAGGGTCTCAGGTTCAATTCCAGATCAAGGACACATACCTGGGTTTCAGGTTAGATCCCCAGAAAACTGGAATGCATGCAGGAGGCAACCAATCAATATATCCCCCCCTGCCCCTCTCTTGCTGTCTTTCTTTCTCTCCTTAAAATATTTTTTTTAGAAAAATCTTGCTATGAAAAGTAATGTC